CTTTTGAACAGCATGTTAAACAGTAGTGGATTATCTTTAGAAGTGGATAAATGAGCCCTGAAACAGCAAATAAAGGTCACCACAGTAATAATACGAGCCCTAAATCGCTATCTCCTCTGTGAGTTGGGAGAGCCATTAAGAGCCATTAGTATCTCCAGATAAAGTGCAAGCACACTCAGTGCTTGGGCTCTGTTCCAGACCACTGCAGATCATCCATTACCACAGAAAGCGGTTTATATTCCACATTAGGGGAATTTACACATAGCAAAAGTCATTGCCGTGCACAGGAAAGGCTTGGACAGTTGGCCACCATGAAATGTTTAATCCTATTACAGAACACAGGTCTGTTCACGGATCTCTAGAAGACAAATACAAAGCCCTTCTGCCTGAAAGGTTAAAAAATATCTGTTTTCCTGTTATGTGGGTGTGAGGTTTTCCTTATTCCTTTAGGAAACCGATCTGTATACATGACATCAGTAGGACTTGATGTAGTGATTGTGGGAGCAATTCTTGACTGTCTGTATCATATTCTCTTGTATGGCTTGGAGATCATTTACAACTTCTTAAAAAAAATATACAGGTATAAAATGAAAAGCTGATATACATATATGTAGAGTCTTACAGAGTTGTGTTCTGTAGATATTGAGACAAGTCATTCCAATGCACTTTCAGAAAGTCAGTGCTTAATTGGAGAGTCTGCATGCTGGCCATACTCCTTAAATTGCAGAGGCCTGTTGACATGAACAAAATGTGATACGTAGGTGGCCCTGTTGGCACCTCTCCGTTCCACAATAGACTTTTTTTAAATCATTTTTTTTCATAGGAGCCGGGCTGAAAACTGTAGGCTGAACAGCGACTGTTCCAGTATTCTGACAGCTGCGGTTGCAAGAGTGTGGCAGAGCTCCAACTTTAGAGCTGTAGGCCACCATGTTTATACTTGACATTTAATGTTACCCTGTAAGCAGATGAATGAGGTATCATAGTGTAAGCGAGGGCAGATAGACTCTCATTTAATCCAGTCATATATTCATTAAATACTTAAATGTATTATGTATTAGGTCAAAATCTGTCTTTGTACTAGCCATCCCTGAACATCAGAAATCATCAGATTGGGAGAAGGGGAATCATTGTTAGTAAATGGAGCCTGCTGACTGGAGGAGTCAGCACAGAATTTCATGAGTAAGTCGTTGTTGCAATCACAGTCCTGTCTAAGCTGTATTGCTTTGACTGCAGTGAGGAAAGGTAAATTGTCAGTCAGGACCATGTATAGTGTCTAGCAGGGGTGTGTAAATTAGAAAACTGCATGAACGGACAGGTAAGACAGTTTACACACATGCATTTCAACTGTGTATCTGTTTGCCTTCACTTACTCTTTAACACTCTTTCAAAGGAAAATTTCACTTTTCACTAAAAAAATAACACATATTATTGCTAAAAAATTAATTCTGTAACTTAATGTGAACTCTCAACAGTATTCTATGTAAAAGACTTTAAGAATTCCCATTCCCCTGCCCATGTGATTGGTTCACTCTCCCATTTAGAAATCAGTTTTAGAAAGCACTGCCAAAGCCTACATGAACATCTCTAGAACGTTTGACAAAATCCTTGTAATGCATAACATTTTCCAGAAGGGAATTAAGAAACCTGGAGATTTATTGAAATGAACATGGTAACATATTTAAATGGAAAACTAAAAGTAGGATGTAGTAACTGAAAACCTTTAAATGTTACAACATAAATGGGAATCATTTAAATAATAGGATGTAGGTCATTGGGGACACAGGAATTCATACACTGTTTGGTTATACTGCCACCTACAGGAGATTTTGGACACTGGCAAATACAAAGAACAGTGCCAGCCTGGTATAACCCCTCCTGCTCGCAGCATGCCTTAGTGTTGGGAAAATGCAGTACCATGATCATACACAGAGGGGTAGGACCTCAATGAACTAAAATAAGTAGATTTCATGTTAAATATAAAACTCCTATTTTCTGTATTGCTGATTAAGGGAAATATGAATTTATAGAATTAGACTAAAATTGATATTATATAGTCATAGAATAGACTGTTGGGATGTCCAGAAACAGACCAACTGAGGGGTAGGCAACAGCAACAAAACACTAACAGGCCCACAAAAACAACATAACCAGGGCCAGGACCAGGATTGTAGACTCAAAGTCTGCATAAGAAGAGACATCTGAACATCTACCTGTGAATGGAACAGAAAACCAGGTTGCAGCCTTGCAAATCTGGAAAACAGAAGCCTGATGTCAAAAAGCCCAAGAAGCCTTCACAGATCTAGTAGAGTGCGCCTTAACTAAAGTAGGGTGTACAAAGTTAGAATTTTATACGAAAGAAGTCGAATATCTATCAATCAGTATAGTGCAATCGACAGACGAAAACTCAATTTATTCCAAAATAGAATCTGAAATAAAAATGAAAATAAACAAAATTTCAAACAACAATCGGCCAGTTTCTGATGGCAGTATCAAACGTTTTGACGGTATTTTTCGTATGCTTGTTCGTGCAAAAATCTTCCCATGTATACCCTACTTAACAGGAAATCATGGAACCCATTCCTTAAGACAATAAGCTTGAACAATGACCTGTATGAGTCACTGATTAATGGTGCAATGAAAGGCAGCTTCCTCTGGAAAGGGGAATATCCCTAATAGGTTCAAAAGGAGGTATTTAAAGCACAAAAATAACAATCCCAAGTAGTCACCTAGAACACACAGGGGGAGCCACATGGGAGACACCCTGTACAAAGTTCGTAATTAAAGAATGGGAGGCTAGCAGGCTCTGGAACAATATTGCAAGAACTTAAATATGTCTGTTGATGGTACTTAAGGTCAAATGCTGATCCAGGTCCATTTACAGAAAACCAGGATTCTTTCTGTGGAGAATTACCTGTGGTGAAAGCATCTAGCCTCGCACCAAGCAAAGTATAATTTCCGAATACAATGGTAGACTTTGTGGGAAGAAGATTTATTAGCATTAAATGTTGTAGGAATCACTAATTCAGAGATGCCCCTGTCCCTTAGGACTTCAGTCATGTTGTTAAAGCCAGTGACTAGGAAGCAGGAGGGTAAACCACTCCCTGAGAAAGAAGATCCAGACGATAGGGAAAAGCCCTATGCCTGCCAATTGTCCACACCTGGCATGTAAACGGCGGACCAGGATCAAACATGAAATTCTGCCAATGACAGGATCCTTTCTATCTCTTTTATATCTCCCTTTTTGTTTTTTCTCCCGTGGTTGGTGTATACCACTGCCGTGCCCTTGTCCAACTGATTCCTGATGAAATAACTCTCCAGTCCAGTGTTGCAGGGACAACCAAATTATCTGAAGTTACAGAATGTTGATCAGGAGATGACACGTTCCCTGCACCAAAAGAATGACCAGAAAAGGAAGGTCTTTCCTAGCTCCAGAGCAGGATCACTGAGACTCCAGGTCAGGGACAACCTGGTTCTGGGTGTCAGGTGAATGGGTGTGTCCAAGGACTGGACCAACTTGTCCCATGATGACAGGATATTGTGCAGAAGGGGTCTGTAGCGGAATGGGGCAAATGGGACTGTCTTCCATTACCCATAGAATTCCCATGCAGAAGCAGAGTTTGGCAACTCCTGAACTACAAAGTCAAATCTGGGAGCAGAAAGTTGGAAGCTTCTTCTGGAGAAGAAAGACTCTGGCTGGAGCTGTGTCTAGAATCAGACCCAGCTATTTTAAGCAATGAGTTTGTACCAGTTGACTTCTGAAGGTTCAGAATCCAGCTGAACTTTTACAAGGAATGGACAGTTCAAGCCATATTGCTGGCCAGATTCTAAGCGGACTGCTCCATCAACAGGACGTCATCCAGATATTCCACATTGTAGATGCTCTGGTAATGCAGCAAGGCTAGGACAGTATCTTAGTTAAACTCGAGGTGCAGAAGCTAAATGGCAGGGCTACAAACTGGAACTGCTGGGAACTCTTAGCAAAAGGAAGGATTCACTGATGCACTGAATAGATGGGTACATAAACGTATGCATCCTTGATGTTCACAGAGGCAAGATAGGGCAAATGTCCATTCCACTGGGGTGATGATACCCTGCTCCAGAAGTTACATGAAAGCTCCGCAGTCACGCCCCCCCCCCCCCCCCCA